GCTAATAATGGACTTAATCCGAGTGTTTAAAACAAAACAGTCGCTAGTTTTCCACTCAGTCTATCGTCTTTACTATTATTAAGGTGAGGATGATAGTGATGATGAGACCCAAAGAAGCAGCTAATAATGCTTTCTTCAAGAAACGGCCCAAGGATCGGGTTTCATCCAGATTGCCTTTGCATCCTCCAATGAATTTCTTGGAAGAATCGAAATGGCATTCTCTCCGCTGCTTCCGTCTCTTGGAGAGAAGAAGGCTCCGTAGGAAGGAGTTTCTGAATTTGGATTTGGGCTTGCAATCGGCGGGTCTGATGGATTGGGAATCGATTTGGAGACGATGCTTTCGGAATCTAACGACGAGTGACAATCGATGAAGCTTCCAAGAAGCGAATCGGTTCTGTAGATTGAGCTTCAATTTGAGACTAGTGAATCTAACACCAACTTTAAGCTTCCACACGGGCCTCAGCATCTTCCATCACACACGTAAACCTACTCCTCCTGAATTCTTTAACCCTAACCAAACAAATAATAGCATTGGTGTTTTCACCATGGGCCTGCCTCAATAGGCCCAAATAAGTTTGATACTTCGGCCCTTCATATCATTGGGGTTGCGTAGTGTATGTATTGCAGCTACACAAGTCCTCTACAACTAAAACCAACAAAAGATACTAACTAGTACAACCTTTAAGATATCTGTGTAATACAATAAAAATTTTCTCTTTTTTTTTAATAAAACATGGGAGTTCTGAATCTTTGATGAGAGTAACCACACCTAAAAAAGCTAATGCTTTCTCTGAGAAACGGCCAAAGGATCGATTCCCCACGGTTTCATCCAAATTGTCTTTGCATGCGATGAATTTCTTGGAACCTACCCAACGTTCGGAATCGAACTTGCATCCTCTGCGCTTCCGTCTCTTGAAGAGGAGAAGACTCCGTAGGATGAAGATTCTCAATTTGGATTTGGAAGTACTGGACTTGGTGGGTGGGTAATCGGGTCTGGATTGAGAACCGATTTGGAGACGACGAGGTTTTCCGTTCTGTAGATTGAGCTTCACGTTGAAACTTGAGAATCTAACACCAACTTTAACCTTCCACAACAACTTGTGCTGTGCTCTTCTTCCATATCTCCTCACAGCTCAGGATTCTTTTCTTACTCTCGACTATTACTAATAATAATAACCAACTACACTTTAGTTTCCTAATTAAGTGTTTTTGGTTTCCTAAAACCGGTAGAAATTGGTCTCCACCATGAGCCTCAACATGCCCAAATAAGTTTGTTACTCATGTATGTATTGATGCGTCA